CAAAACCGTGAACCACGCATGCATGCACCCCTGAGGAGAGTTAAAGGAAACGCTTCCTCATTTGCTCCCCCTAATTCCTGCATGAGATTTTTTTTGTGGCGGCTAAATGAGAATGTGCAGCGTGTATAACAAATCCCAACAGCGAGCGAGCGAGCGAGCGGCGGCAGCTTATACGTAGGTGCCTGAAAACATGCAATCCACATTAGACGCTCATGTTTATAGTGTAGTTGTCAAAGAGCCAGCTCACTGCACCATATCAACACAAGGTGTGACAAATCACTGCAGCAAGAAAACAAGGTCAGGCATCCGCACAGCATGTGCAAACAACTCCACACAATCATTATAAATACAGAAAATGGAGTGTGAAATAAAACAATGATCTGATACATTGAAGCCGCGATATCCAAAAGGAACGTGAGAAGCATATACGAGGAAGAAAACACCATGAAGCTGTCATTTCACCAACCAGTCAGCCACCGTGTTCGGAGTTTTTACTGCCTGTTAATCAAAGGAGGAACACAGATGGCCCAAGGGAGAAGCACGCTGTAGACACTAAATGCACAGCTAAGTGCAATAGGGCTTTACAGCATCATGATCCATCATTCATCACAGCCCGAGCTACAGGGAACCGCATCATGCCTGAAAGACTTTAAAGGGACTGGATGTAATCAACCTCGGCCTCAATTAGATTAAAGCCAAGGCTCATCATTTTTTGGTTTTACTGAGTTACACTGATAAATAGTCCGTTTTTTTTATTTATTTGATTTTTTTTTTTTTTTTTAAAGAAGAAGCAGATCCATTTAAAAGCTATTTCCAGACAGATTTTAAGCCTCATACTGACTCAGAAGTCATGTTGAATTAGACCGAAAGTGAGGAAAAATTGGAAAATTGATTAAGTGGAAAAAGACTCGCACGAAGTTAGTAAAAAAAAAAAAAGTTGTCTTTTTTAGGGCTGCAACCAATGATTATTTTCAATAAATCAATTAATCTTTTAATCTATAAAATGTTGACTAGTAGTTATTTTTATGAGCCAACATTAATACTATTACAGGCTCTAATTAAAATGTAATTTCTCTAAAATGCACAGTGAAAGTGGACAATCCAAAAATAAAATGCCACAAAAAAAATCTGCTGTAATTTATTCCAAGGCTTCGTGATTCAGGGCTAATAACAGCGTGAGAGCAACAGCAAGAAATCATTCTGTCAGAATCACTCAGGGCTGCAGCTAATTAATATTTTCTTTACCAATAATTCAGAATCGTAAGTTGAAGGAGATCGCTGTTAATGTGGCATGTTGGCCGACCGCAAAACTCACGTCAGATTCAATTAAATGTAATGTAAGACAAGAAAAGGAAGGGAAATTTTGGAACCTTAAATATGATATACCTGCATGATTAAGATATCTGCAGCATCATTATGATCACCTGAGCTCACTTTTGATGCACGCCTGTCTCTGCATGTGCACTGACTCCCAAAGCGGCTTCACTCAGCACAACGTACACGAGCATTTGCCAAGGTGACGTCCTCACAAATGTATGTTTATTTCCCACAACCTTCCTTCCTCCGATCCTCGTGTCACGATGCTCTTAGCCGCCGCGCCGCCCCAAACACAAACAAGCAGTGATGGAACTGGGTCGCCACTACCACTCTGTCTTTATTTCCACCTCTTTTTTTTTTTTCTTCCCTGTCTATCTCTCTGTTTTCCCTGTATGCATCTCCCCTCTCCCGTCTTTAAACTCCCCCCTCTCTCTATCTCTTTTCCTTCCCGCCTGTGTTGGCCTCACACCACTAGAGGGACTGACCACTCACCACTACAATGCTGTGCTAACAAACACAAAAGATGGTATTGATCTGAGGAGGGAGAGAAGGCGGGAGTTGAGCTGTGACAACACTCTGTCTCGCACATGATGACCCCTCTCCACACATTTCCTTCCTCTCCCTCTCCCTCTCTCTCTCTCATTTGTTCATTTGTCTTGGATCAATAGCACCAGCAGTTCTGGCGTCCTGTGGTGTCTCTGCAGTGTGCATGCTATGAGCTCTCACTGGGCAGTGTGTGTGTGTGTGTGTGTGTGTACAGTATGTGTGTGGTTTTCACACAAACCCCACTGCCACTTTACTAATTAGCTGCCCTGCTGCATGTCTGAGCAGAGGTTGGTCTCTGTTTGCGTGTGTGTGTGTGTGTGTGTGTGTGCAGGCGTTTGGATGCAAGAGTATGCAGTGTTTGCGTATGCATGGCAACATAGCTCAGTGTGCTTATTTGCTATTATTAATAGAAGAAGAAACCTTACAAGGCTGCACAGATGGGCAGAAAGTAAAATAGAAGAAAGAATAGCACAAAGGAATGATAATGATATGTGGATGTTTTAAGACATGATCAGCGAGTTTTCTAATCATGTTACAGAGGACAGATGGAACATATCTAGTGATGGGTTGTCTGAAAGACGATCAACAAGTTCCAAGATTGTGCCATTAACAATCAGAATCGGCATGTCAAAGTGGTGTCATTGTGCAGCAACACAGTGCTCCCGGCACTTCTGAAAGGCTTCTCTCGTTATGCAAACAGGTCAAGCATCATCTGCAATCGGTGCTGAATCTTCTAAACTGTGTCACAACGATGATGCTTCAATTTTCATTTTGCAGAAGAGGGAGATGCTATAGGGAGACAAACCTAGTGAGAAGGTGGGGTGTGAAGCCACAATTGTGTTGTTGTGGACAATAAACCTGAGGTCATTTGTGGGGTAGAATCTCCCTCAAACACCTCAGGATGTAACAGCAGAAATCTGCTTTTACAGTGATTTCCCAGCGCACAGCCGCATGGATGTTGAAGAAAACAATCAGCATGGTCCAGACCTGATGCATCGTGTTTTGGAAAAGCATGATGTGAAAACTGTTGTTTCTTCTCCTGATGGTAGCTGCAGACCCACCTCTCATCTCACCAGTGATGACATTTGACATAAAGTTTGGATCTGCTGACGAACACAGAATGGGATGTTTCTTCTCTAGTTTGTGGTCCACGTAGATATCACAAATGTGCCCCTACCAATGATGACCAAAATGTGTGCCACACATGTTGCACAGTTAAAAGCACGGTGCTACATGGTCTCCTGACTTGTGACACACACTACCCACAGGCCCAAAACCTTTTGATCACACCTTATAGCGCCTCTATTTCAAAACATTGCAAGACTGACTATGATAGTTACTCTATCTCTATGTACAATAGCTATACATTTTGGTTCCTATTTTCACTTCAGCAAACTATCAACCGTAACTCCTCATGACGTGCTGCTGAAATAAAACTACAGGTTAACACTATAAAGAATGTGGGGGTGGGAGAGCGTCAGTA